TATACATACACATATACATACACACACACACACACACACATATATATATATATGAAGGTGAGAGTGCTATGGAAGTACTAGAGTGTGTGAAGGGCTTCCTCCTTTCATACCTCTCAGTCCAAGCTATTCTGTTCTGTTACCATCTCAATACTTAAGAACACTCTGCTTCCTCAAGTACTCTCACAGGAAGTTATAGAGATGGAAAGTTTTGGCCTGATTGGGATCTTAGAGGGCATCCAGCTAAGCATTTTCCACCTTGGCTCTGCCTCACCCCTGAAAGATGATGTTGACAGGAGTGACTGTTTCCTGGGAGCTCCCCAGCCCGCTGACCACATTACCCTAATGCCATTCAAGCAGAGCCTTCAAAGAATCTGCATAACACAGGCCCCCTTTCCCCAAACCTAGCCCAGAGTTTAAGTTGGTGGGGTCTTTGTCCAAGTGCAAGGAACTTTGTTTCTGGGCAGTTCCTGTGGATGAAGCACAGCAGCTCAGCCTCCTGCAGGTGATAGCTGTGGTCTGGAAACTCTGCTCATCTCCTTATTGCTATATAAACAATTACATTAAGAGCACAAGTGAAAGACCAGCCAGAACGACCATTTAGAAGAGTAAGTGAATGAATCAGAATAGCTGAAGAAGAAATTTAGAGACCTCAGAAATCACTGTTCGTACAACTGGATAAGGGCCATCGATTATTATCAAATCGTTGTCAAATGTCAAATTTCACCACAAAGAAGAAATGAAAGGTCAGAATATTCCTCCTGGATCAGAGGGAAATGAGGATACAGGGTAGTGGGGTCCCCTTTAAAATGAACTCCTGTCATTTGAACATAATCTCAGTGCAGGAAGAGACAGGATTTAGGTTTAGGTGTCTGTTTAGGAGAAAATCCCTGGTCCGTCTTTTCTGCTGGGAATGTTTAAGTTTCAGATTTCCAGTTAAGACTGTCACAATTCTGACTCCTGTTGAGAAAATGAAATTAGATTCCATTTAGACCACATTTAGCCTAATGATGTTCACTACCTCCTGGATCAGGTCCCAAGTGAGCATATACTGCAATGTGAGATTAGATCCGAGGGGAAACTTTGAGACAATCTGGATTGTAAACACCAGAAGCTTCTGATGGACCTTTATACTTTCTTCCCAGAAGGTCTGAGAAGCAGCTAAACACCTTCAACCTGAGGCCAGTTCAGAACCCACCTTCCCCAGGCCTTCTAGTCTGGTCAGTTGTGATAGAGGGAAACTTGGGACTACATGAGAGGAGAAACAGTGTACCAAGTTCCTCAGTCTTGCTTCTGTTGAATTTGGAGCCTGGTAACTATTTGTTATGGTTATCATGGGGGGAGACAAAAATACCCACTATTAAGAACCAGGACTCTAGGGTGACTAAGTGTCCCAATTTGCCTGGGACTGAGTGATCTTCTGGCACATGGGAATTTCAGGGCTAAACCCAGGAAAGTCCCAGGTAAGCCAGGATGAGTTGGCCACCTGGCTGGATTATGTTCTCTTTCATACTAAAGAAAGTAAGAAAACCAAACACTTTGAAGTCTGTCTGAGAGGCATTGACAGAGCCGTCTTAGGGGAATATGAAGCAGTTGAATATCATGTCACAGTAGCATGTGTTCAGATTCTAGAAAAGCTTTAGAATTTAAATGTCTCTAAGTCCTGAGTGTTGGAGAGGTGGCCCATTGGGAAATTTGGTCCTGGCCTGAGCATGGATTAAGGACTTGACTCAAATTTGCCGTCTTTCTAGAAGAGAGGCTTTTGTTTGACACCTGGTAGTGAGTATGAATGACAGGCTTTTTCTTAGAATTGACAGTGTATATCGTGAAAGTGACAGCAACAGTGGGAACTAATTTAATTCCATTTTCCTTTGCAGGTCCTCATAAATCACTGCTGCAGGGGAAAATAAGTTTTACTTTCTCAGACATAAATGATTCAAATAATGATGTGTTCTGTGGGAAGGGGGACGGAAAGGAGGTCTGTTAGTGGGCTTAGAAATACTGAAATAGCATTGTTAGTCAGCTTTTTGTCACTATAACAAATACCTGAGACAATGAACTTATAAAGTGTTCAGGTTTATTTTGGCTTACAGTGTTAAAGGTTCTAGTTCATGATCAGGCAGACCTATTGCTTTTAGGCCTCTGATGGAGGTTTCATGTGACAATGTGGGAAAGGGGAGCTCATGGCAGAGCAAACTACTCACCTCATGGCCAGGAAGCAAAAGAGGAAGAGGAAATAGCTGGGGTACCCAAATCCCTTTTGAAAGACATGTCCCTAATGACCTAAGGACCCCACCTCCAAAATGTCCCACCACCTCCCAATAGCACCACCCTAGGGACCAAGCCTTTAACACATGGTCCTCCGGGGACCATTTAACATCCAAACTATAGCAAACATCACGGAACTTGTTGCAAACAAGTGGTCCCAACCTGCTGTACTTGACCCAATAAATGTCTTATACCAGAAGGGTTTCCTCTCCAGACATACAAAATCCTAGCAGCCATCTTGGCTGGATACTTGTGTTTTTTAGGGCATCTCACTGGAAAAGGTGATTGACAGTAGTTTGGCCTATCCTTCATGAGTTGGTGGATGCACAGCTACAATGAAGTTTCTAGATTCTGGAGTCATGACTGTTTGCAAATAGGAAAGGTCTCAGCATGAATGGAAAATTGTCATTGGTTTCATCTTCCTTCCAGAAAATGACTGTTACTTAGGAAAGTGGTTCTGTTGGGAGGCTTTTTAAATGCTAGAGAGAATGAATTATGGAGGGAGAAGGCACCTAGGCCTTCAGAGTGCTACACAGGAGGAGCCTAGTGCATTTAAGGAGAAGTGAAGCAGAGATGGAACCTCTCTGCACAAGAGAATTGTGGGAGCAGGCTCTGGGCTTGAAAGAGACATATGCACTTCATCTAAGCTAAAAAATGGCTTGCTTACTTTGAGAAGAATCTCCAACCCTGTTTCAGTCCATTAAAAGCATAAAAGCATATGTGCCCACGACTTGAATCTGCATTTCCCTACACATTCATTGGCGCATCACTTTGGGGTGTGGGTTCAAACAGAAAGGACCCCAGGGGAAGTCTTGCTCAAGACTATTTCCTGCAAGCAAGCCTGTGGGATTTTCCCACTCAATGTCAACCTCAGTTGCCCTCCAAAGTCACTGATGGAATCAGTCATCAGCAAAAGCTATAAAAACCCCTGCCAGGGAGCCGCCCATCCTTTGAGAAGCAGAATATAAGGTAAATGAGCAGTTACTGTGGAGATGATTTTATGGGACTGAGAAATTCTGCATTAGAGAAGCAAGAAGTGTCAGGTGGATTTTAAAGCAGCTTCGTTGTCTCTTGCAGCCCACCTGAGACCCAGGGCCGTGGGCTGACACTCACCCATCTGTTTCAACCCTGATCAACAGCCCAGAGCTTTGAGTTAGGTCCGGCCAACCATTGAAAATACACATTTGTCTTTTCAAAAGCTGGGCCTGGCTACTGTCAGAAATAAGAGAAACAATTTGAGAAGACACCCAAGGTACACAGTATTTGACAGGCCCTTGTTGTCATTTAGGTTTCACATCCAAGAGGGGTTTGGGATTTGGGGCTCAACTGGTTTGATGTCCTCCCTCTCCTGGTTTTATCAACTTGGAATTCAGAACTGCTTCTTGATGCTCTTTACTGCCAACACACAGCCCTAAGGGGCTGAGCATCTACGTCATCTCCCTAGGTCTGATCCACTGTGTGATGTTAGCATCCCAGACATTGCTGTAGGCACTGGAACAGGAAAGAAGCAGAAAAATCCCGGATATGTTGCTGTGGGGGGAGGGGGATAAAAATCATGTAGATTAGTTTAAAAACTAGATTGCCTTATAAGTTTCTTAAATATTATAAGGATGTTTGAGGAATTCTCTGGCCCTGTGCTCACTGTAGGGCTTGCCTCTGAAGGAAAACACAACAGAAGTTAATTAGTATTGCATGTACAAAAGACCTTAGGACCTTGTGCTTTTGTGTTTTTGCAAGTGACTGTCCAGGCCCTTGCTCCAAATGAATGACTCTGTCGTTGGATTAATTTCCTGTTGCTGACACAACAAATTTCCACAAACGAAGTGGCTTAAAACAATATAAATTTATTCTCTCAGAGTTCTGGGGGCCAGAAGTCTGAAATCGAGGTGATGGAAGTGTTGGATTGCTTGGGGACTCTGCAGGGCATCTGTTCCATGCCCTTGGCCGGTTTCTGCTGTCTGCAGCAGTCCTTGACGTCCCTCGGCCTGCAGCTGCCCCACTCTGCTTTCTGCTGCCATCTTCACATGGCCTTCCCTCTGGGTGTCAGAGTCTCAAATTTCCTCCTTCTTTCTCCTATAAGGGTTCTAGTAATTAGAGTTTGACTAACGTAATGCAAAATTATTTCATCTTGAGATCCTTAATTACATCTGCAAAGACCCTGCTTTTATATGAGATCATGGTCACAGTACGAGTTTACTGCATTATTTTGAGGGACACCATTCAACCAACTATAGCCATCAAGCGGTGATGTTTTTTTTTTCATGTCTCCAAGTTTCTCGCCTCTATTGCTTTTGCCCATTTTTGAAAGGCCACTCATACAGGTTGCTGGGTTGAAGCTGGCCTCTGTTTCCCCCACTTTGGGCTTAAGCATCCCCGTAGACCACTTCCTCCATGGCACCCTAAGAGACCAAGGCCGGGTTGGCTGACTTCTCCAAACATGGCGCCTCCCAGGCTCCAAACTCTCCAATCAAAGAAGCCAGGTTTACAGCCCTAGGAGCCTCCCTCCTCCAAAAGAGGCTATAGCCTCCTGCCTTTATGCATTTTGAGAGAACATGAGTATGCACAGGAAATGCTCAGCCACAGGTAAAAGCGCAGGGATAGGGAAGTGAAGGGCATAGAGAGAAGAGATGCTTGAGAATCCCTGATTTCTCTAGCAATTTATCCAGAAAGATCAGTAATGTGGCCAGGTTCTGAACAGGCTCTAATATCTTTTTTTTTTTTTTCTTTCCTCTTAGCAAACTGCCAAGTTGGGCTAGAGCTGTTGTCCCAAAAATATTTTATGTGACAGAGAAGGCTTGGAACTATTATCCTTACACAATTACAGGTAAGTCCTTAGCACAAGCAGTATGCCACATGTGGTAAATGCCAGGACACAGCAGTAGTGGAATTTCACTGAGTTAGAACCGATAATCCATACAGGGCTGGCAGGGGGCGGGGTTCAGCTAAGCCATTCCATCTTCCTCCCGGGAGTGACTGTAATAAACAGCCATCGACAAGGGAGGTGAAGACCTAGTCCTAGTCTCTTGAGGTTTTATTATTCCTATTTCTCCCTGTGATTCATCTCTAAAGTGGTTTATTTTGGCTTGTTTGAATTACAGCCCCACCCCAATTGATTATAATTTGTGTAAAAATTTCTACTGAGTCTTTCTGCTCCCAGTGACTTCCTTTGTTATTGGAATAAAATATGAAAATCTTTAAGATCACCTTCCTCCTAGAGAAGTGCTTATAAACTCTCTGTACTGAATACTGTACCAGAAACCATGGACCCCCAAATCTAGGTTTGGTTCCTGTTCTTGAATACACCAAATTCCAAGATGCCGTTTGCACATTCTTATAACAAGCTCTTTGTACTGGTTATAAAAGCTACTTTTCCACTTAGAAGATTTCCTTTGTGGTTAATGAAATGCTTTACTGGAATTATTAGTCTTTAATTCTGCTTGTAGAATGCCAACTCTTGGGTTTTTAATTAGCCACAAACCTATAGGCTAATTGAATCTTGTCTTCCTGTTCTTATCTGCCCAGCCACAACCTATTAAAATAGTTTCAGAACAGAAATGGAGACATTAGTATTTATGAAAATCTAATTATGGGAAGGTTTCTTTACTACATTTTTAATAATTATAGTTCATTTTTAATAATTATAATTATAACTCCATATTTTTTAGTTCTGTGGTGTGTTACACATAAATATGGTCTAAATCATTCTTATCTTTTTTTTTCTTTTCCCTTTTCTTCAAATGAATATCTGGAATCAGAATACACAGTAAGTATCAATAATTTTTTTTAAATATCCAATGATCAGTGGAGTAATTGGAACATTCCTTGTATTTGTCTTATCAATGTGATAGTTTTTTTAAAAGGAATAATTCTGAATCAGATATATTTAAGCATAGACATGTTACATAGTTTATATGTAATGCAACAATTTGAATGTTCTCATTTGTTCAAGAATATACCTGGATAGTCACTTTATAATTAACTTTTGAAGTACCTGGATAGTCACTTTGTATAATTAACTTTTGCTTATAATTTTTAAATGACTTGACTGCTTTATTGGGGATACATTCACTATCATAGAAGAATAGTTTCTAGCAACATGGTATTAAGGGATTTGAGGAATTATTGGGAGGTGGAACTTTTATATTAGAGAACTTCAAAATGGAAAGATATATGTGTGAACAGTTACCCTCAGAGATCTGGAGTGGACAGTTTCTGTGGCTTGATAAATATCTTCCTGCCCTAAGTTTCTCAAGTCATTATGTACACTAAAAGAGAAAGAGAGAGACCCCATATTATTGTGTTGTGATATTTTCAAATGGATCATTTTCCCCAGTGATATACCATCAGGCTGTCATAACAAGAAAATGGTTAATTGAATTGTGTTAAAAGGTTTTTGTTTTTTTTTTTATTTCAATCCAAACAACCAAAGGAAAGACAGATGGTAAAAGAAATAGAGGGAAATGATTCATCATGCCCTTAGTGTGGGTATAGTACCTGGCACATAGTAGGTGCTCAATAAATCATATGGTCTGACAGAGTGAGTGCATGAATGAATGATAGATACACAGGTTCGGAGGGCTGACAGGTGCTATGGAGTCATCTATACAAATAGTATCAAAGTTTTTCATACATTTACATTTATTTCACCCAAAGTACTATTGGTAATTATATCCCCTTATACTTAAGTATTAAAATCTTGTCTTTTATGAAATGATAGAATATATATAGTGGTTTTTGCCCAAATTAGGGGACTACTGCTCTCTCTTCCTTTTTTTTCTAAAATTTGGAAAATCCCTCCTTTCTAGAGCAATTAGCAGAAGGCTTCAGTGGCCTGACATAAGGGTTGGAAAACATTTTCTGTAGAGGGTTATATCATCAACAATTTCTGCTGAGTGGGCCATACAGTTTCTACCATAGCAGCAGCAGCCATAGACAACATGTAAACCACTTGGCATGGTCATGCTCACCCAGGCAGTGGGCCAAGTTTGGCCCCAGGTGAGTTGGCCGACCCCAGGTCTAAGGCAGAGAAGGCTGTCAGCACACTGTCTGTGGCCACAGGCAGCCTGATGCTTCCCTGCATCAGCACCCCCAGATTGCTGCCTGTAGCCATTGCATAATCATCAAGAAACAGACTTTGGAATGGGCTGAAACCTGTCTCCAGTGCCCATTGGGGGCTGTGTAGATTATCTTCCTCTAAGCCCCCATTTCCTTACTTGTATGTGGGGAAATGCAATAACTATCTCATAAGGAGGATGTAAAGTTACATTACGTAATTCCTTGAGAACTTAGCCTGGTGTTCAATGCATGGTAAATACTCAACCCAAGACATCCTTAAAAATGGAATCTCTACGGGAGTATAAATGGTGTTAGATTTTTGTCACTGTGACCAAAATACCTCATAAGAATGTACTATATAAAGGACTGAGGTTCAGGAAAAAGAGTGAATACATGGCTCTGGACAATGCCAAGGCAGTACTCTGAGCCAGCCTCCATTACTATAAACCTTGGTCACTTCTGAGGACTTCTGAGGGGCTTGTGGTCTTTACTTCTTTGCAACTTCTGTCCCAGAGTATTCCTGTACCTGTAATCAGACTTTCATTTATTTATATTTTTATTGTAGTACTGAGGATTGAACCCTGGGCCTCACACATGCTAGCAAGTGTTCTACCACTGAGCTACATCCCCAGCCCTACTTATTTTATTTTGAAACAGGGTCTCACTAAGTTGCTGGGACTGGCCTCAAACTTATAATCCTCCTGCCTCAGCCTCCCCAGTAGCTGGAATTACAGGCATGTGCCACTGGGTCCAGATAATTAGACTTTTAAAGATAAATAATTTTTAAAAAATTCTTTTTGGAGAAAGTTTGGGATCAAAACATACAAAGAGGAAGTTAGTTCCAGTTGCACCATCTCATACTCACTCTTTTCTATTGACTCAGAATATTACCTGGCCTCTTTTATCTGCTTTCTCATTATCCTGCCCCTATTTTTACAACCTCTTTCCCAGTTCAATCGTCTGTGTATTTCCGTCTGAGGTTAACTGTCATTTATTAAGTACCCGTGATATGTAGAACATCATGGCATCATTGAGGAAAGTCCTCCTGCCCCTTGGGGTCACAGTCCAGTGGGAAATAGCTGGACATTCCAGTCAAAGCCTGGGTTCATCAGCAAGTCATGGGGTTTATGGGAACCAAGAGGCTACTCAGCTGGGGGCAGGTTGGCAACAGACCTGTCCACGGGGCTGGACAAGCTCCAGACTGAGCTGCCAGCAGAGGTCTTGAATGGAGGGCAGAGGAGTAGTTCTGGGGAATTCCGCCAGACAAGCGGAGCCATGTGAAAGCAAGGCCCTGGGCTGAGGCTGAGGCTTGAGTCCCAGGCATAGGGCTCTGGTCCCCAAGGCAGGATGCATCAGTGTTAGGTATGTCATCTAATCACGTGGTGCTGGGAGAGTTGATAAACAGAAATAGAGAATGTTGTTGGTGGGACTGCAAATCAGTATAACCACTCTGGAAAGCGGTATGGAAATTCCTCAAAACACTAGGAATGGAACCACCATGTGACCCAGGTATCCTACCCCTCAGTTTATACCCAAAGGAGTTAAAATCAGCATGCTGCAGTGACACAGCCACATGAGTATTTATAGCAGCTCAATTCACAATAGCTATGCTATGGAACCAACCTAGGTGCCCTTCAATAGATGAATAGATGAAGTGTGGTGTATGTGCACAGTGGAATATTATTCAGCCATAAAGAAGAATGACTTTATAACATTGGCCAGTATTGGATGGACCTGGAAATACCATGCTAAGTGAAATAAGCCAATCCTCAAAAGCCAAAGGTTGAGTGTTCTCTCTGATATGTGGAAACTAATCCAAAATAAGGGGGAGGGAAGAATAGAAGTTCAGTGGATTAGACAACGGGGAATGGAGGGAAGGAAGGGGGATACGAAAAGGAAAGACATTGGAATGAATCTGACATAACTTTTCTATGTACACATATAAATACTCTCTCCCATGTTCGTGCAAGTGACGGAAATGCAGTTCCCCCTTGTTGGAATGGGCTGGCCGCGAAATAAAAGCTAAGAAAAATAGAACGGCGAAAGAACCATAGGATACAGAAAACATTTTTAGAAAGTGGGGGCAGGATGGGCTGGCCAATCTCAGGGATCGAGCTTCCTCACTGATAAAAGCAAAATGGAGCCCACACTTGCTTTATTTGTATCGGGGGACATCAAAGGCAGGGATAAGGTTTTAAGGGCAGAGTCTTGCTTCACCCATCTCAGGTGCTGTGTGGGATCTCTGGCAGAGCTTGAGGGGGAAGTTCACCTGCATCAGGTGGTCAGTCCCTGTGGGGGTGCCACGGGACGTTCCCCTCATTAGGCTACGATGAGCAACATAGTCCCCACAGCCCATGGATGGCTCGTGACAGAATACACCACAGTGAATCTCACATCATGTACATCCACAAGACTGGATCCTAATTAGAATAAGATATATTCCAAGCATGTACTATATTAAAATGGTTTCTACTGTCACGTATAACAAAAAGAACAAATAAAAAAATTTAAAAATAGAAAATGTTTAGCTAAATTTAAATGTCCAGATAAACAGTAAGTAATTTTTTAGCATAAGTATGTCCCAAATATTGCACAGGACATAGTTACACCAGAAGATTGTTGTCTTATTTTATCTGGCAACCCGATGGGTAAGAGGCAGCCTTGTGGCAGAACTAGTCTTAGAGACCCGAGTATAGTAATCACGCTATGAGAATCCGCCGACTCGGGAGGGCCAAGGGAAGAGAAGGGATAGGAACTGTATGAGCCAGGAAGCTGCCCTGCAGTTGGCATGCACAGTAAGTCAGATGCCCTGTGGGATCAACTGGGAGGGGTCTCCTGCCTCGGTTGGGATTGGTTCAGGAAGTGGATTTATCGGGCCGAGTTGGGAGAAGTTAAACTGAATCAGATGAACTCATAACTATCAGTGTTTCGAGGAAGACCAGTGCCACATTAAGTGTCATGGTTGAGGCACAGAGAACTGTAGAAAGGAGAGAAGTGCCATGTGGGGAAGTGTGGTAAGATTCCTAGGAGCAGGAGACGTTTCGGTGACTTGAGGGATAGCAAAGCCCCACTGCAGACACCTGCCGCCCTTTGTCAGCTCGGGCTGATAGCAAAATACTATAGACTGGGAGCTTAAACTACAAGACACTTATTTCTCACATTTCTGGAGGCTGGGAGTTCCAGATGGAGGTGCAGGTCAATTCGTTCCTGGTGAGAGGTCTCTGCATTCTCACATGGTGAGGAGAGAAAGCAAGCTTTCAGTTTTCTTCTTCTAAGGGTACTAATCCCCTCATCTGAACCTCATTAGCTCCCCCAGGCCCATCTTTGGACACTGTCACGCTGGGGGGTCAGGTTCGATCAGTCCCTAGCATGCCCACTCCAGCCCAGGAGGCAGGTGCTGGATCCTGGCCACCTAAAGGGCAGATCATGGTGCTTGGAATGTCAGGTCAAGGTCTAGATCCAGTTCTCCTCAGGGACTCCACATTGTTGCTGACTAGTTTGCTTTTATTTTCCATCCCAAATATAGGACAGCTTTTCTTTCCAACTCCCCAGGACTAGGGATCTGGATTTTTCTCTGTCTGCCCCAGGTTTATTCCTTCAGGCTTACAGAGCACATTTTGAAGCTGCCGCCCCCGGACTCGGACCCAGCTGGGTTCTCACACTGCCCACAACAGCCTGGGCTAAAGAGCCCACCCTGTGCTCTGAGTA